GCCATTAGAGTGGTATCGTCTGCATATCTGAGGTTGTTGATCTTTTCCCCAGCAATCTTAATTCCTGCTTGTGATTCATTCAGGCCAGCATTTCGCATGATGTATTCTGCATATATATTAAATAAGCAAGGTGATAATATGCATCCTTGTTGTACTCCTTTTCCTATGCTAAACCAATCAGGGTGTTTGATATCATGAGATTGTTGATCTTTTCCCCAGCAATCTTAATTCCTGCTTGTGATTCATTCAGGCCAGCATTTCGCATGATGTATTCTGCATATATATTAAATAAGCAAGGTGATAATATGCATCCTTGTTGTACTCCTTTTCCTATGCTAAACCAATCAGGGTGTTTGATATCCGGTTCTAACTGTCACTTCTTGACCCTTATACAGGTTTCTCAAGAGACATGTGAGGTGGTCTGGTACTCCCATCTCTTTAAGGACCTGCCATAGTTTGTTGTGATCCACACAGTCAAAGGCTTTAGCATAGTCAGTGAAGCAGAAGTAGATGTTTTTCTGGTACTCTCTTGCTTTCTCCATAATCCAGCGAATGTTGGCAATTTGATCTCTAGTTCCTCTACCTCTTTGAAACCCAGCTTGTACTTCTGGCATTTCTCTATATAGGTACTGTCGAAGCCTAGCTTGTAGGATCTTGAGCATGACCTTGTGATATGAGAGCAATTGTGCAATAGTTTGAACATTCCTTGGCATTGCCTTGATGGTCACACATTTAAATACTGACCAGGGTTGACTCTGCTTAGTTTACAAGATCTGACCAAATTGGAGTGTCATGAGCTATCAGTCACAAAACTCTACAACTACTAAAATCAACAGCAACGTACAGGGTTCTCCAGGTCTCATCCTTTGGCCCTGCAGCTCAGATTTTCTGGCTTCTTCGTATTGAAATATCAGGGCTGTCAGTTAACCCTCACACTTGATGGCTTCTGCTAAGATTTACATGCATGCCTGTTTATAGTCGCTGCAGATTTAAATGGGGAGCAATAATCTGGCACTAGCAGCTCAAATGTGGTTTACATCCAATGCAGGTAATTTCCATGGCTTGATATGTGTGTGGTGAACGATCTGTCTCTTCAACACTACGTCATTGTGACTGCACACACTCACAGATGTCAGTTCCTAATGGTGTGGGGAAAGCCTACCACTAATGTTACTACTCAAGAAGCCAGGGGTGTCAAACATACAGCCCAGGGCTGGATCAGCCCCTCAGAGGGCTACAATCCGGCCCACGACGCCCTGGCTGTTTCCTGCTTCCTTTTCCAGTTCTGCTGGTGCTGCTACATCACAGCTTACTTTACAAGACTCTCTCAATCACACAGGAGAGATAGATAGGCAAGCCTCTCCTGTGTGATTGGGAGAGTCTAGTAAAGCATTAGCTGAGGCTCCTCCTCCTCCCAGGGGGAGGGAGGGAACCAGCCAGAGCTTGCTTCCTGGCCAGGCTGCCTCAGTCATATACAGGAGACATGTTTTATTTAAAGTTTTAAAAAATCTTTGTGTTTTTATGTGTCCTTTATAAACTTTATATCTCCGCTACCCAGCATAACATTTTATGACACATATGGCCTGGCCCATCAAGGTCTCATTTATGTCAGATCTGGCCCTCATAAAAAATGAGTTTGACACCCCTGCAATAAGGTATCGCCTGGTCCTGCCTCTGGAGTCTCAGGGTTTGTGATGTTTGGGGACCTGACAACCTAGCAAGAGATTCATTGATGTAATCCTTTGATGTACCACCACTATAACTAACACCTTAGTTTGAGTGAAAAGTGAGGGCTGAGGGTGGCTTTAGTATGCCGGTATGGCTAGTGTTGGACTGGGTTCATGGAAGATCCAGGTTTGTATCTCCACTTGTACATGGAAGTTTGCTGGGTGACTTTGGACCTGTCACAACTTTCACCCTGGCCTACCTCACAGGGTTGTTGAGAGAATGGAGGAAG